TTTCAAGTTTGCTTTTATAATGTGAAACTTTTTGCAAATATAAACACTAATAATTTATTATGTTATGTATTAGTCTGTAGTTTATTACATTGGTAATTGGAAAGTATGGTTTTGCTAGAATATCTAAAAATTTAGCTAAAAAATCTGAAAACAATTTTGTTGAATTAAAAAAATAATTATATAGAACATAAGCTAGAATATTAAATTTTTTTGTTAAGCATTACTTGTTAATATTTGAATTTCCAACATAATTATTTTGATGATCTAATAAAATTATTATCAGATCTGTATCTGATCTAGCTAAATTTTTAGATATTTTACTAAAATAATTCTTTCCGTGTAACAATGATCAGATAAGCGATCATAGATATTACTGCGACATATATGACAAGATCCGCAACGTAGATTATCGATCTAAACGAGAATAGCCATGATGACGGCATATTTTATAATATTTACATATCAATTTCCGCTCGATGCATAGTCGAGGTGCATAGTGTTAGTTCCACACGTGATTGGCTCGTCTCACTATTTAACATATTGAAATAGCCTGACACGTGACTCCGATCAATGGAAGCGTAAATTACTTTCTAAGTACGACTGCAATATCGCGATAAACTTACTTATATCGTTTTTTTTTCGTTTTATTTATAAATATCCTACTAGGGCTGGTCAAATATTACTCTTGTGAGATAAATCTTTGAAAATCAAGCATTAATCAGAAATAACGCGACGTGTCGTTATATTTTATGATTATTTAATAGAGCTCTTAATATTCACGAGGCGGCAGACATCACGTTTCCGTCATCAATTTTCTTGAGAAACTATCATCGACATCGATACCTGTTCATATTTCAGTATCGGTTATTTATCATCGGTACTAAAATACAATGCTTTATTCATTATCAGACGCGGAAATAAAGATATATACGGCATCATTGGTACAGTCGTGTAAAAAAGAAAGATCTAATTTAAATAAACAATTTAATTATTTGTATGTATATAAAACAAGAGAGGTTAATACGAGTTTATAATATTTACATATTTTAAAAGAAAGTAAAAATATGAGAATCACATCTAAGAAGAGAATCAGAAATAAATCATGCTCAAAAAATCAAAGTTTAATTGTAAAAAAATATTAGTGAGAAGATATTCGTATTAAATAAATTTACTAACAGTTTGTATTTTTGGTTGTATGTTTAAAAATCATTTTAACATCCTTATCTTATAACAATTTTAACTTGTAATTTTAGGAAGCTATTATTATATTTTTAAGCAACATCGTATAAAATGCTATAGAGAAATCGCTTATAATCAGAGCGATTGTGTTACGAAACATTCGATTTGATTCAAGTCCCATGTATCAAACGTCTCGAGCGAGAGAATGACGCGACTGGGATATAAAATCCTTATCTTCCATAGATGCGAAGTCTTCGTTAAATTTATACCGACAACGGGAATCACGACTTTGTCCTATGTCGTAAATCCTGACAGACAGTCTTTCTTCTTCCTCGATACACGCAACACAATTGCCTTTCCACGGCGGAATCTCGAATTGAACGCTTGGGTGGCTGGCACGATTCATTCGCAAAGAAACTTTGTTCAAAGATATTCCAATTAAAATTTAAACTATTGCTTTTCCCGACAAAAGTATCAATTGCGTCATACTCATCCTTTTTCTGTTTATTATTTTATCAGAAATTATAACAACAATAAAATGTAATTATTAGAAATCTTATGAAAATTTGTTTAAATTATTACCCTATAACTACATAATATATAGATATATGAAACTAACCGATTTTTCGAAAAAGAGAAAATACCTACATTATTATTTTTTTCAGCAAAAATAAGTGATAATCATTTTTTGATCGTTATTTTATCAGAAATTAACGGCTTGAAATCTAATTATTAGAAATCACAGTACGTATTTGTGAAAGATTGTTTAAATTATTACAACTGTATGAAACTACAGCTATTCTTCGAAAGAGACAAGAGATATCCAGAGAGCTACATGTTCTTCTATGGATTGTTACAAATCGATCGAGGCTACAAAAGCGGCAATAAGTTGCGTTTGTTAAGTTACAAAACAGGTATAAAAAAAAGTAGCGGCTGCTTGTAAAATCGTCATTGACGTTATCGACCTTTGACATTAGCGTGTTGAATCTCTTGCGAATACCAGGCGAAATCATCAATTGACTGAAAACGTATGTGGGCAAGGACACGCGAGCAGTAAAATGTAAAGGGCGCCGATGCTTGAAGATACAATCGACTCAATCGTTTTATTCAAATTTGATGGCTATCTTTTACATAACGCACATATAACGCCGTGTAATAAATTTCAATTAACATAGCGCCGCGGCCGTAGCCAACAAGTTGCCAAAAAAGAAGATATCATATAAATCTAGTCATTTTAATCAGCATTAAATGTTAATCGTACATTTTACATACATATGTATTTGTTGCTTCTCTGAATCATGGAAGAAATGTTGTCTCATATTCTAATATGTATCCAGGAGTATTTTTAAATATTTTTCAAATATTTAATGCTGTAATTATAGTGACTCTTTCATGATTTTACGCAAATAATTATTTTTCTATACTGTATATATAATATATTAATTTTTATTTATATACTATATGATAAAAATATAATTTAATTTCAAAACTTTTTCAGTATTTCATCGTTCATTAGAACGATGTTTTTATTGACGGAATGGGTTACAAAGTGAAATTTTTTAAATTTTTGAAATCTCTTTCCCTCTCTCTCTCTCTCTCGACCTTTTTCGTAATCATACTTGAAGAGATGTGTGTGTGTGTGTGTGTGTGTCTCAGATATTTAAAACCGTGTAAAATCACGCGTCATCGTAATAACGGCGAAATATACGTTGCGAATGTCACGAGGAATGGAGAAGTCACTCGAAAAGTCGGCTCAAAAAAAGAGGATGAAGAAGATGAAGAAAAAAGGCGGCGAGGGGATCGTATATGCAGAGGAATATAAAACGTTATGTCACAGCGCGAGGAAGAGAAAGAGAGAGAAAGAGAGATGCTCCTTGTAACGCAGCCCGATAATACATGTGCACGTATACGTTTCGTAATGCGGCGTTAGGCGCTCATAATGAGACACACGTCGTAAATCGTCGACGGGGAGAGGCATACCTGCATAAATATCGGGAAAAAGTGTAAGACTGTTGACATTTAAAGCGGATGATAATGACGCGCTGCTGCTGTGCCGCTGTCGATTACAGATTCCCTGCCCGCGGAATAAAACAACGCGCTAACTTTAGCGGTCCCGACTGATTGAGACTCTAGACGAAACATGTGCCTGGTAGCGTTTGGTGGAAGACGCGAACAGCTCTGAGAAAATTGCGAAATGTACGAGAGAAACAGCGGACTCCCCATCGATGCGATAGTAGACGAATGCTACACATAAAACCGTGGAAGGTTTCGAATAAATTTAATAAGCATTTTTTCGTAACTCAAAGAAACATACCGTATTTTGCCAATTTTCCGAATTTATGGGAAAATATTGTATAAATTGCGTTTCTTATTACTTGTATAAATTGCTTTCCTTATTATACGTTATATATTTTGAAAGCAACATTGATCGAGAAATATATTTTTGTTTATTGTTTTTACTGGCATCTCTTTCTAGCATTTACTATAGTTTCTCTCTGAAAAAAGTTTGGACAAACAAGTTTTGTTTTTTATTAAATATACAGAAAGCAACGATTGTTGAAGTATCTAAAAGTTTAGCTAGATATATATCTGAAGTTTAGCTAGATACATATCTGAAAATAATTTTGTTTGGACCATTAAAATAATTGTGTAGAATGCTTAAACTGATCGCCAAAATGTTAAAACTTTTTGCTGCATTGTCATTAATGTTTAAACGTTCCACATAAAATTTTGATGGACAACAAAATTGTTTTCAGATCTAGCTTTAAATTTTTGGATAGTTCAGCAACTTCGTTCTTTTCTGTGTGCACAAAATATAGTTTATATTATATATATGTAATGCTAATAAAAGTACGGATTAAAATACGAGATATGAAGAAAAAAATCATTTAATATGCTATTTTGTGCGCTTGATGAAGTTAATTATTTAAGAAACATTGATAGTTAATAAACTCTGAAAAGGATATTTTATGTAAGGATATTTCGATCTTTTAAGGAGATAAAACAAATCTTTTTGCGGCCAAGTGGAGTTGGTCGACTTTAGCCAGACACGTTCGGTCGCGGAAAGTATAGATCTGCGGATTACTCTATCGCAACAGCTGTTTGACCTCTGAACTATTAACCACCGGTTAAATCGAGAATCTGTTAACAGGAAAGAAAGGCGCAATTGCGAGATCTGATATAATCATCGATTTACTATTCTTTCAGCAACGCCTTAAATGACACCTCCATAAATAATACAATGATAATAGGGAAGCTAATACTCTTCACATTTATAGACACGATACAGTGCTACTTCAGATTCTTATCCACTCTCGAATCTCACCTTCTGTTGGAATAACGTATATAACATAGAAATAATGTGTATGACACAGTAAAATGGTTTTGCTGAAATATCTAAAATTTAGATAAATACAGATCTAAAAATAATTTATAATATTAAAATAATTATGAATATAATTATTTTATTATATAAAATTCAAGCATCACGCAAAAATATTTGACAGTCTAGAAAAAAGCTTAAATGTTCTACACAATTATTTTCGAATCTTGTACTTTCTAAAACTTTTAGATGCCACTCTAAAGAGTGAACTCTTCCTCTTAAAGATTGAAAATTGAGCCACTTTTTTCCAAAACTAGCTCAATTTTTACTCTTTAAAGTAACATTTCAAAGAATATAGAAAGTATCTAATTAAATTTTTAGATACTTTAGCAAAACCATTCTTTCTGTGTACGTTTGAATTATAAATAAGTAATTTAAGAAAATTATAGAATTACAGAAATAGAATACTAAAATAATTATATAATAAAACACTTTACAGGGCCGAAGCAGTTTAACTTCCGAGGGCACAACTATTTCTACAGCGGGCACGTACCGGCTCATGCCAATCAGAAAGTGGATTGGTTAGACGCTAGAAATATTTGCAGGGAATACTGCATGGATCTCATTTCGATGGAAACTCAAGAAGAAAACAATATGATCTTCAGGCTCATCCAGCAGAGTAAGTATAACTTATCTCACGATCAAGCTCTCATGAAACGTGCCGACGTTTGTATACGCGCCTCACTCCTTTATGTTGAATCATTCTTACTGTTCCACATTGCAAATTAGAGATCAATGCATGATCGAAGGACGAAGTAACAGAGCAGCGGCTTCGTTTTATTTGTGAACAAAGAAAAGTGCGGCATGAGGTCATATTTGCAATTGAAGGAATTTTTATAAGTAGCTTCGTTAAGAGAAAAAATGTTTTATTATTATCAAATCGATCAATTTAATTTACGAGATTATTATTTTACTTCGTGATTATGTTGCTAGTTTGACAGCAATCGATGCACAATTTATATAATTGAAAGATGTATTTCAAAATTTACATTAAAAAATATTATTTATTAGCTACCAATATCTGGCCTCAATTGTGTAAGACACTTTCTTACTTATTTGATTAAAAAAATATTGTATTCACAATGAAAAATTCTTAGGTTTGCGATCTGTACGCATTGCTGCACAATCGGTTAAATCTACCATTATAATGAAGACTAATTTACGTATTAAATGATTCTAGAAACTGCATAATTATTATAATTTGACCTATAAATATCTAATAGAATACCGTTTTCTGATTACACCTCTCGATCGATAACAAACACGAAGCATTGCTTACCGGATCCAATTCTTCTTTTTTCACCTGTAATTTATTAACGCACTGCAACCTGTCGAACACGAGCAGAAAAGTACAAATTCTTGAATTTATTTGAGAAGGATAAATCCACTGGTCCTTTTGATAGAATAGTCTTAGAAAGTTTTCACACGATGTACAACCGTGGTGACGATAGTAGCGAGTCGTAAATATCGACACCGACGCGATTTACCACGGTAACTTTCATCCATGCGAGATAATCATTTGGCAGTATTTCGAAATAAGCAGCCCGACGTGGAACATCATAGCGTCTCCGATTCGGATGATTAACGACGATGCTTCCCCTTTATCCTTTCCTTCTTTTCAACACGACCTTTCGGCTGCAGCGCGATGCGTTTAAGCATATCCGAGAACCGAAAGTGTAATTAATCGAAGGGTTTTATACGATATAGTTGCTTTTACTTTTATTAGTAACAGTGCTTCTTCCTCGTTTTCCTTTAGCATTAAAATGATTTGTTGAACTTGAATGATGCAAGTTATAATTGCTATCAATACATTCGAAAGAAAATTTATCCTTAAAGAAAATTT